CGGTCGCAAATGTACGGTGTTTTGTGGGTGGGTTACAAATCGTTTATCAAACCTGTGATTTAGTATGACAAATCAAGTCAAAGGTATCTAGGATTATATAATGTTGAGGAAAATACCATTGTGAAGACAAAGCTACCAGACAAAATTAGGTGAGGTGAGGTGAGATGAGGTGAAATTGGGTTTAACGTCGTGCTTGAGAATATTTCGCTCATATGACGACGTGAATGCGTGTGTATGTGTATGTGCGGCTGCTTGTACTAGCCCAAACTTAAGCTGGTTTTATAGTGCTAGCCCACTGAGATACCATGCCGCAGTGAAGCATGAATACCCCACTCAGACACATTATACTGACTCCGAGCCGACCAGTCCTTGTTGTACCCATTAATGCCGAGCGCCAGGCAGGGACCAACAAGTACCATATTTTAACGTCTTTTGGTATGACGCGGTCGGGGATTGAACCCGCGACCTTCCGCTCTCCGGGCGGACGCTCTAGCCACTACACTGACTGACTGAGTGAGTTTGGTTTTACGCCGCTTTTAGCAATATTCCAGCAACATCACTGCAGGGGCCGCCAGAAATGGGCTTCACACATTGTACCAATGTGGGGAATCGAACCCGGGTCTTCAGCGTGACGAGCGAACACTTTAACCACTGAGCTACCTAGGGCTGCGCAATATAACCGGTTTACCGGTATTTACCGGTTCAGACATGAAAACGATACGTATTGCAATACGCTGATCGAAAACCGGTATTTTGACTTGTATTCGGAATACTTCGTAACACTCGGAAATCTTCGGATATTTCCTTTTCTCATTTGTGCCAAATATTATTCACATTTTTATTTTTAATCATGAATAAAAGTTGTTACTAAAGCTTAATGCAGCATAGTGATTTTCCTGTGTATTTGCTCTATAAATCAAGCATTACCTCGATTATAAGTAGTTTTTTGTTTAAAAATACTTCATGCAATATATTGCAATACATATCGCAATACATGCTTTCGCATCGCAATATATCGCAATATGAAAATTCTCTGCAATACCCACCCCTAATGCTACCCCATCGCCCCGATTGAATTATTGAATTGGAATGCTAGGCAACATGACACAAAGCAACCACTTTGTCTGTGGAGTTTCTGTTGTTTACATCCGAGATCAGAAAGAATAACACATAAATAGTTCAACTCAAGTCTAGAGTATTTTGGCTGCCTCAGATTGCTTCAGTGCAATGAGTACTAAAATTAAGCAACTGTGCGATCTCGTTTTGGTTTAGCATTAGGTCTATATGTATTTTTTAACAAGGCATGTATATTTCTGGGGCTCCGTGACAGTTCTAAGATGGTAAGATGAACACCGGAAGGTTGTCGCCCGTAGCGCCCTAACGGATCTGGTGATCTGGCTGTGTGACGTTGTTCGATATCGTATCCCGACGGCTCCATGCGTTGTTCATAATGATCCCGACTCGATTTCTCATACTGCACGCCGTCATACAGTTTCAGTATTATCGAGTGTCGTCAAAAACAGCAAACTATGTGTACTTTGCTTATATTTCAGGGACGAAATAGCGTCTAACAGTTAAGCTATAAAATAAACATTGTCAATTTTGACAAATACTACATACAAATGTACATATACACATATTTTATGTACTTGAACTACCTTACCCCATAGCATACCTTAACATACTTTATTCATCCTACCATGATCATGCAATTAGATATATCAGTTGAAATATATATCAGTGTCGGAAAAAATACCTACTAAAATGATATGAGTTCATGTACATCACATTAAAATACACATTTTATCTTTTCCCTACATACATGTAACGTTCTATTTTATTGAGCCTTGACATGGTTCATGCTCTCTGAACATGATATAGTTCTCTACAAATTTAGATTGATGGCTAGTTGACGTTTTACATCTTTTGTGTGCATTATTAAATGACAAATACTTAGCAATTTCAAGTAACACCTCGTACACACCTTGCCTTAAATACATTTTAACATTTTCTATTAAATATACATCAGCAAAAAATTCATGTAAGCCACAACGATGTTTTATGAACCTGTTAAAGGCGACCGTGGAATCCAGCGGCTGTGTGTGTTGGGAATAGATTTCTGAAGGAAAACACTACTTGTGTTCAGAATAGATATACAACACAGTCAACAGAATTCTAATGTGAATATAAACAGGCATTTTTGTAGGCAGGTCAGTCAACCATACTGAAAAGCACTACCTGCTGATTCCAACCTAAGAGCTGGTCTAATGAATCGTGAGACTTTAAGCCTCTGAGAACACATGCTTGAATTTCTCCCTTCGCCTCAACCACGGACGGTTTTAGTCAAAGACAGACAAGTGGCCGAACTAACGAGAGAAAATGGCAATCCCGCCAGGGCAAGGGGGCATCCAGGCATAAGCAATTTAATAAAACTCGCCGCTTCGAGCTTGTTAAATACTGAAACAATTACAGCGGATTTTCCCCGATGTAAACACCTCCAAGCAAGACCTAATCCTGAGGATTTGAAGCTATGAGGGGAATGACAATTGCCATACAAACCCTGACAGCCTGGCGTGTGGTTAGTCATGGTAATGGTTAACCAAGAGGAACTTTCATCCTTAAATTGGCTAATCGTGTAAGACCGACGGGCAACCGGGTGGCGAGTTGACTTGGAACAATATTTCTATATGAGCAATGCGGGTAGTATAATATCGGGGTAGCTTTGGCAATATGGTTTGTGTTTCTTGGTTTGTTGTTCGGGGTATTTCTTGGTCGTGTGTTTTTATGTTGGAACTGATGTGTGCACTTCATGCATTTTGCGGCAGTATGTTTAATTCAAGTGGTATTGCCTCTCACAAAATTCATGCAGGAAAAGTTGCGTAACGAAAGTTGCTGCCATTGTGCAATAGTTTTCCCACAAATGTTGATCACTTCATCCCTCATATTCACATAAATTAGTTAGCTCTTATTATGATATTAATTTAAAAAACAATAATAAAGGCGCGATGTTTATTATATAAATATAACTTTTGAAGTAAAATAACACATCTACACTTTTAACTGTATTTGATAGAAGGAACAAAACATCTTTTCCGACATTTCTGACACAAAACGATTTTTAATAAAAATTCGATTTTATAGGCCCCCGAAACAGTCCGATATATTCAACAGTTACCAATCCTTTCTATCCTATGGGCCGTTTTGATACTTAGCGCACACCGTTTTAGTGGCCGTGATAGACGTGTCTCGTCTAAATCATGATCGTTAAAGCAGTTCAAAGGATCTTAGAAACTACAAAGGAACACAGGCAATAGTTTACTTGAAGTTACAATACAACAATACGGCTCCGTATGACTGACAGGCAGTACTAACATCTGTCTTCTTGTGTTCAAAGTGCAGCAAATTCAAAGTGTAATTTATATCTGTTTACACTCTCTTTCATTGATATTGCACCGGAAAATTTACGCTTTGTTAATGCCGAGGCCAATATAACTCTCATGTTTGAGATGGGGCGATTTCTAAAAGGGCATAGAAATCTATACATTGTCCTTCCCTCCATACAATAGCACAAACACGTTCAGTGAAAGGACGTGGAGTTGTTTAGTGATCTTCAAACTAGCTCTAATACCTTGATAACCAATAGAGGATTGACAGCCACAAACTTAAACCTTTCACAATTTGCGGTTTTCCAAAGCCGTGAAAAGGACTCAGTTTGAAATTAAATAAACAAATTTCGAGAGGAAATATAAGAAGCACACACACAGTGGTTTAATAACCACCACCTAGGCGATAACAATGGGCGCCGACCGGCTCCCGATTCCGCATTGAGTACCCAAGGTACCAGAGAAGAGGAATTGACCCACGGGCCGTGGCCTAGTGGTGGATGTAGCTATTGTGTTCATTGGACAGATGGCGTGAAGGAGAGAAGAAAATAGATTTGCTTGACAGCTCGGGTAGGACAATGAGGGGGGATCCTCCCCAATCCTTGCCGTGGGCTCGTCTGCAATACCGGAGACAGTGGTTCAATAGCTCCACGCGCCACACTATCACAGACATATGTTCAACGCTTGCTCGAACTTTTCGGATACTTTATCAACATCAGATAGTCTGGCGGTGAACGCACGAGGTACTCTGGTTGGTTACGTCTTACCTGAACGATCTGGTTGTCTCCCGAGGAGTCCATCTGTCAGAATCTTGGTAACTGTAGCCTTAATAAACTTCCTGTGTTGAAATGCCTCGAGGGAGTCATCAATGAAGAAACATCTCAATTGGTCACGGCTATTGAGCGGATGAATACCTTTCAATACAGCTCGCCTTTGTTTTTGTGAAGGTGTTGTTAGAAAACAACTCGTTACCGGATACCCCGTAGCGAGACCGAAAGAAACTGAGATTTTCTTTAAGAAGCTAGCCGTGAGAAATTTGGATTAATTGTTTTCCTGGCAGGAAACAGACGTTTGTGCCCCACAGAGTTCAAATTCGGTTTTACCTTAACGGGCGTAAACAGGTTTCATTAGTGTAATTGTGACTTTATTGTTCAGCCTGACTATAAGCAAGGGGCGTCATAAAGACAGTGTTCATATGAACGTGGCGACCTTCTCTCGTAGGTGTCTGTGGCGTTCTAATCCATGCTGCTTCTAACAAGTGATCATCTACCGTACATCTAGCCTACCGCCCAGTAAACAGCTGATTGACGCATCCCCGGGAGACGGTGGGAGGGGATATATATAACATTTATCTCAGGTGAGTGACTAAACCAAAGAGAAATTAATTAACAACTTCCCTTGAGTGACAGTAAAGCTCTTCATCGTAAACGATTCCATCAATACCTTTCGAACGAAAGCCCAATCGCCGGAACGTCCCTGTCCGAGTTTCAGCCAATCAGCGACCAGGGAATTATTATATGCACGTTTGTGGGACGATTAGCTCGCTTCCGGAGGGATATTCCCAATGCATGATTAAGCAGTTCCCTTAAAAGGACGCAGGCGTGATATCACTTTCACCCGCTTGGATATTCCTCTCAAAACACACACGGCTTGATGTTGTCGGGAGCTCGTGTCGCGTGCTGCTGGTGACGCTGTCTGTGGGTGAGTACTGGCTACGGTCTATTAGTATTTCCTGTAAACTTTCTGCCTCCTTACCACAGCGTTACAAGCACTTGGCGGATCCCAAACTTCATCCCAGTTTTATATCAGCGGATGCTTATATTGCACCAAGTGTCAAAGTATTTGCGTTCACTACAGCGAACATATTCTGGAAGATTTATTTAAGCTCGTGTCAACTTTGATAAACGGTCTTGTTGACATAGTTTACTTTTATGTTGATAGTTCATAATTCAACATTTAATCTTCACGGGTGTGGATTAACGTTTTTAGTCATGTCATTGTTTGAAATTAAATACTGTTATTAATAATATTTTGATTATTGTATTTTATCTACTCACTTAGGATTTAGCTGTTGGTTTACAATGGACTGTAATCGTTGAATCATAGCTTTATTGAAATATGCAAGGTGTCAATATTTGAAAATTTGATATTATTGAATATGATGCCTCATGAAGTAATGAACTGTTTTATACTCTGGCATTTTATATTATAACCTGATTTTATAACCTGGATATATATTTGTATTAGAACTTAATTCATGAACATATAACAAATTTAAATGCAACACACACATATATAAGGTTACCTTTTGTCATTTCGTTCAGTCCTTCAAAGATCAAAGAGATTATAGATTATCCTTTTGGTAGATAATACTAACTTGCCCGGAACATACAATGAACTGTTTACAAATACTGTTTACAATGAACTTTGTTTCTTTGGCGTTATATGTAAACACATACATCACCGGATTAAATGACTGATATTTTATATATCTGATAAATTGTTTTGACATTTGGAAGCCAGGTTGCACCCTTACATGATACGATGGCGGTTGAAGTACAATTAATCATGATTCCTTATGGAATAAAGCTCTGCTCAGTTGTACTTCAAACTACTGACGTGTAATTGATGACATGTATCACCTCATCATTATTTCGAAACCCTTTATGATTACGATCAGGTTACATCAGAACATCAAGTTTGGAATGCACTTATAATTTTGTTTAAATACTTACATATGTAGATAACATCTAAATGTATACTTTGATAATGATAATTTTGTTATCCTCATATCGTGTTTTCCTCAACAGATCATATGTTTAGAAATAGTGACTGGATCATCAGATTGCTTTGCTATAGTATATACACTGTTGATGATTGTCAATAATATGTGTATGTATATTGATATCTTTTTGATATCACACCATGACTGCCAAGTCAGAAAGGGGTGTGTCATGTATACAAGACATATTCTATACAAGAATTATGTATACCTTATTGTATACATATCGCTACCTGTATGTATGTAATTTAACCTAAAACATGGCCACGAGGGGCATAGTTAATTTAACAGAACATTTGTCAATGTCATCGATATATTTCTGGGTGTATATATCAGTACATATATATATTTATTTGTATTTTCTTATCGTACTTAAGAAAGATTTTTATGCATTAGATAAGTTTCTTTAGTGTTTGTAATGAAACTTAATAACAAATTGATTCAATATCCAACACCATTGTGTAAATACACAGTACCATTTAGAAAGTGATCATGATCAAATGTAACACATGTTGTATTTGGGATTTCACTTCTCAGTAAAGAACAGATTCTAGTGTTTTTGTAGTTTACATGAATCTATCTATCATCACGGTTAACATCAACTGTGTAAGAAAAATACTAAGTAACCGCTTGGAACTCATAATGTCGCAAATATGTACCAACATGTTTAGCTTGAAAAATAGAAATGCAGACTATTTACTCTCCTTTCCCCTCACTCCGACAAACCAACTATTGGGAAGAGCATTACTTTCGTTTCGTGAAGATCTTTTTGTGTTTAACAATCTGAAAAAAATAATGTTGACACGAGTCCAGCTTCGTTTCCCCGCATATCCCTGATCAATCAAATCAAACATATCTCAATTTTTGTCCTGTTGGTTATGCTGTCACATTAGAACTTGCTCCAATCTCTTATAGTATGATTAACGATAGCCAGCCAATATGTTACGTTCCGATAGCAAGCAGCAATCACGCTCTGTCAATTTCTCTCTGGGTCGTGTAACTTATCGTTGGTTAGTGGTACAACCTCGACAACTTCAAGGCGAAATTCAGATGCTTTGGGGCTTTTCAGGTATGCACCACATTGTGCATTTCACATTAATCAGAATTTATGTCAAATGGAAGAAACCGCGGGAATTCGTGGGTGAAGATTTGGCGATGCAAATTACAGATTGGAGTACTTTGTCAAGGAATCATGGGAGACACTAGACGCGCATGTTGTGTCCCTCAATTGATAAGATACATCACAATTAGTAGGCTCCGTAGGTTTTAATCGTGGACGGTAAATATATTGCAAAATGCTAATCGGGTATGAAAAATTGATAGTTTACGTTAAGGCATGCTTCAACAAGCAATACTTAAAAGGATGAGTGTGTTTGAAATTGCTCCTATAATACAACTTAATGGGAATTTTAGCTTCTTCATCTCGATACTATTTGTTTATGGTTTAAATGTTGGTTTTCAGAATTCCTCATGGTGGAAAAAGATACATAAAACGGAAGATCTGCTAGAAGAATTGCCTCCAGTACTTCAGATAAGGTGAGTGTAAATATAATGGAATTTGCTATAGTGTGGTGGCACCGTTAAGGATAATACCCAGACAATGGTATATTAAAATATGGTATATATGTTCTCAATATATTTTTTATTATAATGTAAGTAAAATGTTAGTTTGTGACATATGATTATGAACTGTATTGTTGTAAACATCCGTTTTCTATATTGATACTACCGTCTTTCTTTGACGTTAAATGATACACATTTGAAACTACCGTGCACTATTTTGGAATTTAAAACTGATCCTTGCGAGATTAATCTCTAGTTTAATGTAATCCCCCGTATCCTTTAAATCAGAGATAATACACCTTAAGATACACTAGGTGTATTACACGGTTCCAGTGTGTAATTAAGCTGCAGCCTGAAGTCATCTACACCCTTATGTACAATAAAGCCAGGTTAACAGGTTGTATCTTACGTACGTGAACGTAACCTTACGCCAACTGACGTAGATAACCTTTAGGACATGATATGCTCCATTGGTCAGCAGACTGGTCAGAGAACTGACATATGGTCACTTGTACACCATGTTGTACAGTGAATTAGAAAGATAACTATGGTATCATGCTCACACCCAGTTCTAATCACGGTCTCTGTCAAGGTGTTATTTTCTCTTTAACAACTCTCTAAACATCGCTCGCACATTCATGAAATCGCCCATCGGATTCTACGCTCTTTCATTATAGAATTCATCCCTGGCTTAATCTTGAACAAATCACACTCATTATGCGCAAGCAAAGCGTGTCTCCGTTTTTCTCCCCATACAGCCCCGCGTTACGGTGGGGGTATGATCTGTGATTGTTTGACCACCGGTTTGACAATAAGATGAGTTGGCTTTGTCTCCATATGGGCTGATAACCCTTCCTCGTTATCCCGTCAACGCGTGGCGACATCTGCTCGACAAAGGGAGATAATAAGAAAAGCTATTGTATCACACGCGAGAGTCGGGTTAACTGTTCGTGTGCCGCCAAGCGTTAGTGTTACACCGTAACGTGTGCGTAAGGGAGGTTCCCTTGTTAGCCACTGATGAGGGTTACCCGAGGCTATTAGATCTCCGTGTCAAATAGCACAGGAATTCGAGACGGGTGGCGACTGTGGTTGTGGAGACATGTAGAATGCCTATGGAAAAGAATGACGTTTTAAGGCCATGCCAAATCGATCAAAGGTGTCAGTGTTAGAAGATATTCTGAACACCTGCTTTTTAAATAGAAATCCAAATAAATGGCATTGTGAAAAGTCGTTTAATCATCATTATGATATGCTTAACGCAATTTTCATCTGTGGTGTAATGAACAGCCGCAATTGCACCATTAGCTAAGCATATTTGGAACCATTTAGATTTAAGTCTAAAACCAAAGATCCTTCCATTTGACAGTTTTATTGTCCTTCGCCCCCCAAAAGTGTCACGGAATATGGAATTAGTTTTTAAATAGTCAAATTCACGTGGCCTTTATGGAAGGATCAGATTTGAAAATCGCCTATAAAACCAGAAGACATGGCATCGTATGGATCATACACCTTAGAATAAACTATCATGCACTTTGTCGTCCTACGCATGCACTAAAACAGCTGATAATATTCTGGTTTTCGTTTGTCGTCCAGTGCAAGCCGGCTGCTACACAATGGTGTTTATTCGCCTCTTTTACCACAATCAGTGTTGTCCGGCTGTATGAGGCTTGGCTTACGGCTAACACCAAAGTAATAAAACCAGTAATTGAATTGGAAAATATTTCTCGTGTGTTTCTTGATAATGTATCTCTTCAACGAGTGGAACCGTAAGGTTCATCTAACAAATGTTGAGTAATTTGATTACTGACGCTCACGCGACGGATTACGATTATTTGCTTCAACTAACTCGTCAAGACAAGAACAATCAAAATATATTACAGTTTTCTGATAAAAACTTGCAGCACGCCCGGGGGAGAATCGGTAACTTGTTTTCTCAGGATTGAAATCCATTTTGCAGCAATATCGAATTATTACTTCATCAATATGTTCTAACATCCCCTTAATTTGGATAGTTTCAAGAAAAATGAACTTTTTATGGCCTTTCGGTGCCTTGTTCCAGTTTTATTTGACAGAAACCGAAATTGCATGGAGATGGATTATTGGGGACAATATTTTTTAAAGAAAGTGTTGCTAAACACGGCCAAGGAAGATGTTTTACCGATTATGTGTAAATCCCCGAGATGTCTCTTTCCTCGTCTATCTTCATCATTTGGTCGTGATGTCCAGAAATTAAGAGTGAAATGGATTAATTTGTACTGTATGTTATTTTCCCAGGTGACCCTTTGCACGATTTTTGTCTGCTTTCCCCAGACACAAATGAAGAAAACGTTCCACTTTGTTCCGAGTTTGTCTTAATAAAGAGAGACATATTTGCTGACAGTATGTTCTGTGTGAGATTCACGTATACCAGAGTTGGTTTAAGGGGATGAGAATAACGGTGAATTATGTCGTGAAGGCGAGAGATGAAGTGCATTACTGCCATTGAAGTCAACACTAGAAAATGAAAGGTTATGGTTTTCATCGCAGGGAATTGATTGCTAAGATTAAGCCAAACATTCAATAAAACGTGCGATCTTTGAGATAAATTTCCTGTAACGATGATTCCGTTTCATGAACCTTGGCGTCAGTTGCCTTATGTTAACAACAATTGTCAAAACCCAAAACACTTTTGAAGAGCTTATTCATACTACTACTACTACTACGTAATTGGATCTGCGAACGGACAGGTATTGATTGTGAAACTTATTCAATAAATAGCTTTTGTATTTATTCCAGTATGTCAGGTAAACTTGTAAGTCACCTTTGATTCGTAATATGTTGCAACGAATGGTGTCATGTCGACAACTGTTAAATGGCTTCGTATATACCGATTTTGCTAGATGTACTATTATGACAGATTTATCATTATATAAGCTTTCAAAGTGTAGTTTCTTTTGAATTGTCATTACAGTTATAAACGTCTTGTAATAAATCACCACAGTGTACTCTCGGATACTTTCACTTTCAATCACTTGTAAACGTCTCCAGCATTCCATAACATGTGGATAAGCCAATTTGTAGCTGAAACTATTAATTTGAAGCGGGAGTGAGATCATCCCAAAGTAGCTATTTGCTTTTGTTGCTGGGCGTTAGTGGCATTTGGTAGTATCACGAACCGTGGTCCTGCTTATGCCCCGAAACGGACCGAGGAAATCAAGTAGTCTTATAGAGAGGAAGGTTGCCCCCGATACAAGCAAACTAGCGATTATTTGTGAATCAATTTCTTCCCACTAAATCTCTAGAGATGAGAAAAACTCCTTTCCTTCAACTTGCCCTGATTGTATGTGCTCGGTAGTCGTACGAAATCAATTTTACGTGAGTGATCTATTAGCAAGCCACATTTGGTCTAAAGGATTTTTGTCGGAGAATTAGTTTTCGAGCTATTTCGCCCGTCGCAGTTAGCCCATCGCTAGCTGAATCCGGCCCTGACTAGCATATTGTCTTTACAGGGTGTGTTTCCCTATTAAAGTCCCATGTCGCACCAAAATGAGATTAGATGGCAATAAAGGGGACAATCGAGGTGGCCCTTCGCTGAAATTATTCTCGGCAGGATTGTCTCTAATTTAAGGCTGAGAAGCAATCAAGAGAAGGTAGTGCAGAGACCTGTTACATCTTAATCAACCCATTGCGAAATGCACTGTGTCTTTGTATTTGACCGGCGAACTCTTTGATGCTACAATATGTACTCTAACCGCTGTCAGAGGCTTTCAAGCTGATTTACAACTTTCCTAATACTTTTGTAAACCAACAATAGAAATCTACTGAGTTGGAACTCAATTTTTGTTTTTTTTTCATTTTCATCCAAATTTAAATTCCATTTGAAAATAGATAGGTTTCACCTAATCTTCGGGTGAACTTTTTTAGAGTTTAATTTCTTGAAATTGTTTGTGCCACGTGATTTTCAGATTTTATTCCCAAAATAACTTAAATGATCCAATACGTTATCAGAGGATCCCTCTACAAATGTAATATATGGACCCATCTTCTCTATTTGCTCTTTACGAACACTGTCTCTGAATTTTGAAAAGAATTAAAAAGAAAACCTGCAAATTAATTCCTTTAAATTCAAGTTCAATGAATTGCATAAATGTTTAATGTAATCCGGAAAAAATATAGTTTTCCATGACAACCTTTACCACTTTGTTTCGAAACACGCAAGTATTTCATTGATTTTTTGTTTAAAAATAATTGATATTTATTTAGAATTACACGCAACCAAGGTGGTGATTGTTTAATCAGACCAAGATCTCTCACAGGACAAACATGAAGCCATGAATTCTCACTCCGATGCATGAGACACGTTTATTACCTAATAATATTGTTAAAACGTCACTTAAAGATATGCGGTCCAAAAACTAATATGATTTTGTTTGATGGATTGCTCTTTACGTGTAAATCAATGAGAGTAATTATTGTTGAGACCAGAGGCCTAAATAAAATTTAGCCACTTTTTGAGAATTATTTGATAGAGGTCTGGCTGAGCAAAATATACCAGATGATTGTAATTAGGTTGAAAACATCCAATTTAATAGACCGAGATAGTATCCAAGGCATTCAGATAGAACGTTGCGTCACCACGCCTAGCTAAAACTCAATTAATTTCTAGATATGGTCTTCGTTGAAACTCCGGATCCCCGGTTTAACTCGGGTTATTTGTCCGACAATTAACCATCGTCTTCGCGATTCTCCCGACATCTGCCTGACATTAATTTCGCTTATCTAGTGTCTGTGTTGTCGATGGCCCCAGAATTACGCGTTTTGACACGATCAAGATGCCGGGAGATGAGCCAGAGGGTTATACAGAAAATTGGAAGGCTTTCCGTTTCGGAAATGGAATAATTCTTTCAACATTTCATCTCTAATAAGCCTAAATGACAGTATCATGCACTCCGGGGAATGGACACAAAGCCCACGGCTAAAATAAATTACTCTCCTTGGGGGTCTGCGATACATATTCGGCAATTTGGCAAGTAAATTGACATATTTCGACCTGAAACGGAGAGACCAGTTGGCTTTTGAGACAATATCTCGCTTGTTTATTGATTACAGATGAGAATAATGCGCATGCTTCAGCCCAGTGTTTACGCGCCATATGGTCTTTGAATAAACTTGGTTTGACATCCCTTATCTGTCCCTTCTCTGACGTCACGAAGGGCCATCTTTCAGCGTCTTGGGATAGTTTTCTTAAATCGTTGATGAATTAAACGAAATTACTTGTAAATATTCCGCACCTGATCCAAATATCGCTCCTCGACCATGCGGTCCTAATTTAGTTAAGCCACGGTGCCTCCGCCGCCGGTTCCAAGCTCGCCACTCCGACGATCATATTAACAATATCTGTTTTAATTAACGTTTTCTATAACGCTTTAAAGGGATTATTTCTCCATTTGGAATCTTCGTGCATGGTTTCTTCTCGTGCACCAGAAAAGCCTGCTTTGGAATATGTTCAGACGGAGATAGCAGCCTAATTTATCTTCCAAGACGGACCTAATGAATTTCCAATTTGGGCGATTATTGAGTAAAACACTCGCGAGGTTGATACAAACATCTCGCTTCGTTAGTGCCATCTCGCATCCAGTCGGACGGAGCAAAACATATTCTCATTACGCATCCCCAACACTTAAGGACCCGGTCGGTTATCAAATTTTACCCAGTCCCCTTTTTGGCTCAAGCAAAGCTTTTGGAAAGATTGATCAAGAACATTAGATTTGTCTCTCAATATCCACGGATGAGGAGAGTAGCCGGTTTCGGTAAAGCTCAGGCAACTGATCAGCCATATTGTTAGAGACTGGAATGGCTTTGGATATTATGCTCAAACATGCTACAAGGCTAAACAGAGCGCCCTTAGGAACTTTGGGGGTTCATGTGATTTGTTGTTTAAACATTCCGCTCTGATCGTTCATTTGCTTAAAAGCTGGGTCTGTCAGAGGTCGGTTTTTAAGTCTTACAAAGAAATTAGTTGCTCTGTGAAGTCGATTTTATGAAAGTTTGCTGGAATATAATTATTTAGTGTTTTGTGGAGAATGTCATTTTAAATCACAGTGTTTATCGTATTACGTATTTGCGTTTTTAATTGTGTGTGATATTAAACCAATATTTTATTTCTTTCAGTTAGACCAAAATGGGCGTGGTTCCAGTATCAGATATTGACTATGGGCAGATATTCGGGCCATTTCCTTCCCATCTTGCAATGGCGGATCCTGCATATCTCATTGCGATGCTAACAAATGACAAGAGACAAGACGGAGTTATCATTAAGGTAAAAATCTTCAATACCGAGGGAATGTCTGGCAGAGGGCAACAACCGATCTCTAGGTGCCGTTCATATTTCTGTACAAATTCCACTCATGACATATCCTGCATATTGATACCGTAGGTTGTCTGGAAGATTAATTCATGCAAGAAGTTTAAATATTCGAATTTCAAATAACGAATAATCGGATATTATTAAACGTATTTAGATTGCATACCAGTAGTGGTTTGAATGATATGTTATACGGAGATAGGGACGCGAAAAACTATGTGAAGTTCACATCAACACTTGAGTAGTGGTTAATGCGTTCGCTCATCACGCCGAAGACCCGGGTTCGATTCCCCACATGGGCACAGTGTGTGAAGCCATTTCTGGTGTCCCCCGCCGTGATATTGCTGGAATATCGCTAAAAGCGGCGTAAAACTAAACTCACTCACTTACCATCACCATAGCAGAGACAGACACCTGAACTCCCTGTATGCCACGGGGACATATGTGTCCCTCATCTTCCACCCTTACTGTGAAGTCGAATAAAATAATTATATCACTGACAGAAATACGCACAGTTTGGATTTTTGCGGGAAATTCGGAGGTAGATCAATTGATACGCGAGTGCAATTCTTGCGCAGTATTTTTTCAGTTGTTACAAAAATATGAGTCAGCAAGTCGTCATCCAGGAAACAGGAAAACCCTTTTTAATTAAAGTCGTTGTCGCATCCCCTCAATTGCCATGGTTCTTCTTCAGTTGGATCTCTCTGAGCGGAAGGAAGGAATCAAGGCCGTTGACTGGCTGCCCTACATTCACCCAGCCCGAAACGAGGAGGAACAGAATGTAGAGGCCTATATGAAGGAGGGCCAGGTGTACTACAGAACCCTCCGGATCGTGAAGGCAGGGGAGGAGCTGTTGGTCTGGTACAGCAAGGACTTCTGTCAACTCCTCAATATCCCCGATGTCAAAATGCACATACCCAAAGGTAAGGGAGTTTCACCTTTACACACGTGCGTCTGAAGTCCTGAGCTCAGTTTGACTGAAGTCGTGACCTCAGATAAACAGTGATAATCCTTTGACCATGCTTATGTTGGGTCGTCCTATAAGGCATGTGTGCCTCATTAAAACCACTGGCCGTGGGATAAGGTCCACGATGAATCTAAAAGGGAATGAGTCTGGTTTTATGCCGCTTCAATTCTAGTAGTATCACGATTAAGGGCGCCAGAGATTGGCATCGTATATTGTATCCTTTTGGGGAATCGAACCAGGGCCTCTGGCGTGACAAGCGAACGCTTTTGGGTACATGTACCATTATATCGTAGTATGGATAATCGTGATACTTCATCTGACGGTAAATGTATCGATACTTTTTTTCGTATCGTGATGTATCGTTGACTTTAAAATTGTTAATTTAGTAATTGACGGTTATGTCAAAATCTACACTGTTACTTGCTATCAAAAATATGGTTTTAAAGAAAATAACTAAAGGTAGCATATCATGATATGCATCGAATCGAATTGTATCGTTCCAAGATATCGCGATACGTATCGTATCGTAACGTGAACTTTCTGTATTGTCACACCTCTATGTACCAAATACAGTATGAATGAGGGCGGATGGGCCAAGTTATTCAGTCTGGTAATTTCGTGAACTGTCTGTTTGGGTATCTGGTTGACGGAATATCTGAGATAGATCGATGGTGACACTATCGACCTCTGATCCAGACTGGTCTACAAGCGTTCCGTTCTGTACATATTCCTATTTTTATCTGCTTATGGGGCGGAGCCTTGGATCACCTGTATGATCTGACGGACAAAAAGAAACGATACACTCATTTTTGATAGTGGCTAAAAGGAAGAATGGTTATGAGACGGTCATATCTTTAATACGGGTATTATGGTTGTGCTTTGGAACTACGTTTGCATTTATTTAGGCGACTAGTGACGTTTTGATAATGTTGTTATGGTTTGGTGTGAATTTTCAATTGCGCAGCATTTCAGCATTAAAATGAGTGAGTGAGTTTTGTGTTACGCCGCTTTTAGCAATATTCCAGCAATATCATGTCTGGGGACACTAGAAATGGGCTTCACGCATTTTATCCACGTGGGGAATCGAACCCGGGTCTTCGGCGCGACGAGCGAACGCTTTTAACCACTTGGCTACCACACCGTCCCTTTAGCATGTAGAATGTGGTTAGCAATTTATTGAGTTTGATTCTTTATAGACACGGAATATGATATTTTCTTAATATGTAAAGTAATGATTTATGAAATTGAGGTCTTAGGTGTAAATGTTCAAATATTAAGTGATATATTTTTTGTTTCCAGACGAAGGGTTCATATGCCCACAGTGTGGTGAAGTTTTCGAGTACGTGTTTCCAATGAGGGCTCATCTCAAGTTCCGGTGTACTATGAGGGCGGCGGACATGCGCAGTTTAATTCATGATGCTTCCGCAAAACGACACCTAGTAATTTCAGAACTGAGATCCAAAGAGCGTGTTGCCTCGGACAATTATAAATGTGAAACAGATTTATTGAGAGACAGCATTCCAAACAGGTCCGGAGACAGTCCTGATTCAATTCCACTTGAACTTTCACCAAGGAGAAAAGACATTTCAGAATCTAATAGTTCACGGAAACGACATTTATCTAGAGACATTTCTCCACCTGAGAAGAAAAGTTGTACTGAAAGTAAAAGTTCTGTGTCTTCGATGAACAAGGATATTGACGTTGAGCGATTATCTCCCCCTAGCACGAAACTCAATGACTTTGATCATCACTCTGACGGAGCAAGTGCATTTAGGAAAGTGGAAAAATCTATGTCACCAGTTCAAGAACAATTGTCACCAATTCACCCAGTCTCATCAAGTTCCGTGTCTCTGTCAAATAGAATGTCTGTTCATAATGCTGTTCGAAACCCTAGTATGTCTATACCGTCATCAACTGCGTCACATCCGGCTGTGCGGGATGCTGTGCAGCAGAATCAGCTGCTTGGACTATATATGCCCCGTCTTCCATTGATGCCGCAGCTCCCCCTATCGACCAATCTGGCTGCTTCAACGACCATGTACGCCGAACGGGCACCTGTTCGTTTTGCTGAAATGTGTCGGACACAGGTGCCGGGGCCTCTGACAGAGAGCTTTGCCAACGTACGAAACAGTGACAGTAACAGCGAACTATTTGTCAAACAACAACAGCTGCTGTTTGCGGAGAGGGCAAGCATGAGTTACCCCGCGTATTTGAAAAGCCAGAACCCGATGGTGGAAAAAATGATTCATAGTGGGACGAATCCCACTCAGATCAATTCCCCCGTAGCCGCAATGGACCTGTCACAGAACTGGTGCGCCAAGTGCAACGCCACCTTCCGGATGACTAGTGATCTCGTCTATCACATGAGATCTCATCACAAACGAGAGTTCGACCCGGTGAAGAAGAAGCGTGATGACAAGCTGCGGTGTAACATTTGTAGCGAGACTTTCCGAGAGCGGCACCATTTGACGAGGCATATGACGTCACACGTATAGAACTCGCATAGACGCTGTTATAGAGATTATGCTTATATACTAAAGCTGCTAAGATATAAACAATGAGTGGATTTGTATCTGCATCTTGCGTTAGTCTATCACGTCTAGGCTTGTGTACCATGTCTAGTCCTCATATTTCAAGTGGTTATCGTAGAATTGTTATTCTCGTTCTATAGTAATCTGTTAAACCAACGTTATTACGTACTTCACGGTGCATTATTTCGGAATAAAACTGATGAAATGTTGGATAGAACATATAAAAACAAAAGTCTTTTTTGCTTAAAGAAAATATAAACACATAAGCTTTAATAATGGACAACGTATGACAAAGTCAAAAGGCCAAACAATATCAGTCTATGCGCCATTCAAACAATTCATGAAACGAAGCTATACAGTATTATTGACATTGAGGCACCGGTGATTAATTGGATGGTTTCAGCCCAAGAAAGGGACCAGTATTTCATTACAAGATTAGGGGTGGGGACTCCGAGGTTTCTGGTACACTTATGAACTGAAAATAATGACTCTTCCCCAATGGTTATCATATGTTGGAATGGCTATTTATGCCCATGTTCATTATTGTTCACCTTCTCCGAGAAGACAAAGCCCAAAGAGCTATATATTCTTTACCCAAACTTTGTTATGACCCTCTGCAAACATGTGTATCATTTTTTTAGGACCCACCCTCATTTTTTTCGTTGCCTTTATCCCTGGTCCCCTCTGGCTCACCCACCTCTATAAGCAATAACCGGTTCTTGACACCTGCCAGCAGAAAACATAGGTTATGAACGGTGCGTCGAAATAAACATCGTACCACAATATTTATTGGTGATACGCTTAAATTAACATCCACGTATCCCTTTTATGTCGAGCGATTAATAATTCGTGACGTGCAAGTTTATTCTCTACGAACAGATGTTCGGAATTCATCATTCCGAAAATACAGACGCCATATATTTTGTTAAGAAATTGACAGATTTCGTTATTACATTAAATGTAGAAATTAAATATATTTATGTTGATGTCCAGCTGTTTTGCATTATTATGATACTCTGCACTTTGAAATAATTAGCTTCGTCATGAGCCGTGGTATGAGTTTGGAAATCGCTCTAGAAAGTTGAGTTGATTAGTTCCCGTCAGTTTGAATGTCCCTGTAGGAGACTGGTGGAATCTGTCCAGTGTAATGTATTGTATAACACTGTCCTTGCTAACGTACGATGTGAAGTTGCACTAATATAACAGCTATTATAGACATGTTACGTGGTTACAATAAAATTGTATATTATCATAAAAATGTTTTTGTTTGTATTTGTGTCTCAATTATACGTGTACGATCCCGTGATCATGATTGGGTTTTTGTGAAACATGCCTGCAATATTAAGTGAATGTTACGGTCACGGTGCTTTATGAGTGTGGTTGTAAGCCTGTTGTAGCAGGTAACTGTCACTGAGTGAGTGAGTTTATACATGCTATATCAATGTTACGGTCACGGTGCTTCAAGAGTGAGCATGGATGTCTGTTGTATCAATGTTACGGTCACGGTGCTTCAAGAGTGAGCATGGATGTCTGTTGTATCAATGTTACGGTCACGGTGCTTCAAGAGTGAGCATGGATGTCTGTTGTATCAATGTTACGGTCACGGTGCTTTATGTGTGGAAGCCTGAGGTAACGGTCATGTCTGTTACATATCAATGTTACGGTCACGGTGCTTCAAGAGTGAGCATGGATGTCTGTTGTATCAATGTTACGGTCACGGTGCTTCAAGAGTGAGCACGGAAGTCTGTTACATGTATATCAATGTAACGGTCACGGTGCTTGAGGAGTGGGCATGTAAGTCTGTTTGTTACGGTCACGGTGCTTCGTAAGTGAGGTTGTACGGCTTTTGTAGTGTAACGGTATTTGTGACTGTTGTTACGGGGCTTTGAGAGTGGGCATGTAGCATGTTAACGGTAACTGACGTTGTAGGGCTTTTGTAGCATGTAACGGTATTTGTGACTTATATCAATGTTACAGTCACAATGCCTCATGAGTGAGTGAGTGAATAAGTGCCGAAGGAGTGCTTCACGATTAAGTGAGTGAATGGACTTTTCGCCAACATTTCAAAACACAAGCTTGCTAAGAAATCGTCTCTGACTAAAGAAACCAATGGTTGATAGTGTGAGCACCGCACCACCGTGTAACTATATTCACATATACATATGGAACATGCCCACACATTTCTTTCTCAATGTGACCTCTCTATATGATATACACAGGGACACTACAACCATCCAGTGCTCATTTATTCTCACCTTTGTTCTTCACTGAATGTAGGACCTAGGCGCAGTGTGGTGGGGAATATAACAGTGAGTGAGCTTGGTTGTACTTCGCTTTAAGAGTATTTTACGGCGGGGATATCACAAACGGGCTCCATGTGCGAAATCGAACAAGGGTTTCGGCCTGACGATCGGAAGCTGTAACCGCTACCCTACCCCTCAGGTGAACCACTAAAATATTCTTAGTCAGCATTATTAACAAGGAATTTAATGGGCAGTTATTTATCCACTGGTTGCTAAAGACGCGTTATCTATTGTCATGTACACAAACAAATAAACTTGTCTCACCCCATCCAGGATTACTGTTGAATCGAATACGATATATGACCGACCGTATGCTAACGATGAGGTCATAATCTGCACCATATAAAGGCACGAGCGGAGAGAAATATAATTTGGACAGTCGGGCAAGACACTGAAGTTTTCCAAGGCCGTGAATTATGTGTCTGAGGTCGCGGCTAGACGGATGTAACAGAAGAAACGAACAAGCCCAAGGGAGTACTTGGATGTGCTTTAACGATAATGTTATGGCAATGGGGAGGCTGCGCAGTAAACTGGTTTACTGTCTTTTTATCGTTTGTACTATGAATAATAACAGGGTAAAGGTTTGCAGAATGGAGGCCGTATATTCACAGTTGACAGTCACACAAATGGGATGGTTTTAAACATTTGTGGATTGTTTGAAGAAACAAATATGTCGAATTTTGGTTTATTCAAAACTGGAATACGGTCTAGTTATTATCCTGAGACGCTGAGATAAAACTGACACGTTGTACGCTATTAGGTAAATTATTACCTGATTTATTGATAATTTCGTACCATTTCAAAGAACGGAGATACAAAGCGGCGCTTGAAAGACTTGGTCAAAATTTGCTTCGACTGACAACTGAGCCGTTAGTCGCCTCTTACGACAAGCATGAGTTGCTGAAGACCAATTCTAACCCGGATATTCACGGGTCCTGCTCGTAAGAGACTATTAAAGGTCCGGGTTGGCAGACAAAGGAACTTGGTGGCTATGTTCATAATATCGATCACTGGATTATTTGGTAGAATACAGCTGGATTAATGAGCGTTAAACATGAAATCAATCTTACCCTATAGTCTTTCATTGATAAAAAGTAACAAAACACTTCAATTAAATGAATTCACCGACTCAAAATATAAGATTGCAAAAAATACCGTTTTATATCAATAAGTTTAAAAAATAAGACAAAATCGAAATATAGGTAAAATATTAAACTTTTAGTTCAACTTTGAATGACCGTTGAAGGAGTTACGTCCCTTCCCTTATCGGTCTGAAATGGGTGTTAACGTCAGTTGTTGAAGTTGGTTACACATTTGTTCAATTGTATTCGCCAAATACAACTAATTAAACAAACGTCACTTCGTGGAATGTTAGGTAATTCCACAAGCAAATATACCTGAAATTTGGTGCAAGACGACATTTCAGTTGACACAGTCGCTGTGGTATCATTAAGTTACAAGTTTTACTGACATTTACAGCAAGATATCTTACTACTCTGTAAAAAGCTGACACACAAGCACTTGATATAGTTATTGCCTTCTGTCATTCAACGGCATATAATTTTGTTGACAAATGACCAACGAGCACACAAAAAATAGCATATAGTCATTTCAGAGTGAGTGAGTGTGGTTTTACACCGCTTTTAGCAATATTCCAGCAATATCACGGCAGGGGACACCAGAAATTGGCTTCACACATTGTACCCACGAGGGGATTCGAACCCGGGTCTAAGGTGTGACGAGCGAACGCTTTAACCATTGAGCTACCCCCACCCCCCAAGTCATTTTAGAATGGTTTATTCATTATATACTCATGCCAATAATGGTTGTCACCCCCACCCCAACCCCACACATCTCACACCCCACCCCACCCCCTCTCCAATTAAAAAAATTGAAGGGGGTGACAACCATTATTGGCATGAGTATATTTACGATATATGTATATATATTGCCTGTATGCAAATATATGGTACACATTTGGAACAAATATACAGGTACCATTATATACGTACAGTGTACACTTTAAAACACAGTCCACCTTGTCTTTGATACATCAGTGACAAAAATAATGTCCGATGCAATTCCCTATTGATTTGTACCACACATTCTCGATTTATTTAGGTGACCAGTTGACTAGAACTTGCATGTGTTTATGACCGGTTCCACCGGTGGGGCAGGATACGGTCACCTTTTCGCGAACACCTGGTATTATCACTATTTCATAGTGATTCCTAAACACATGCTCTGTCATTGTATCGCATGGTGACAATCGCTGGATTGTCTGGTCCAAACCCGATTTGTTTACAAACAAGATTGTACAGCTGTAATACTGCTGACACAAATACTAAGTATATAATCATGAGGTTGTCATAATTGTACAATCGTCTCTGCTTTTAGCAGAGGTTTTATGGATGATAAAAAGGGTTTTGTCGCTTCTATTTACATAGCCTTCTTTAACATAGTCGTTTTACGTTGCACTGGGATTTTACAATTTTCGAGATATCACACTTTGCTGCTAAAATCAACTGTCATTTTGACTCTGTTTGCTGCGAAGCAACGTGTTGTGGTTGATATACGCGTCAGCTTTTTATTGTTGATAAGCGATTGGGTGGTGACATTCTGCTGACATGCTATATAGCACTGTGAAGGTGATTTTGCCAGTTATCCGGAACAAACACCGTACACATTCTTACGAGGAATATGTTTGTTGGATGGCTGGTTGTTGTGCATCGCCGAATCAGCAATATTGCATCTATATGGCGGCGGTCACGAGGAATATGTGCCCTCGCTGTTCAAAGTTGCGTCCCTTAGATTTGCAAGGACACGGTGATTCGTTTGTTCGAATTTCAGATGATTAAAATCAACCGCACAAACTCACTCACTCACTTGCATATTACACCAGCACATCAACAACAACGATTAACCGTATTAGTAAGCACAATGCACGGATTGGCGTCAATAAAACAGTTACATGTAAAAAAGAAATTAAAAAAAAGATATCAAACCAATGGGTACTTATATAAGTTCAGTTCATAACTATGACATCACAAGTGTATGATAATATTGTTAGGGATCTCGGCGTATTTTAAGCTAATCAAATCACTGATAATTTGTGACCATTTAAACATAGGGACGGTGATTACTCGTCAAGCAGCTTTAATACGTTAAAGCATCCGCTCGTCACGCTGAAGATGGGCCTTTAATGGTTCGATTCCCCACTTGGGTATAATGTATGAAGCCCATTTCTGGTGTCCCCCGCTGTGATATTGCTGGAATACTGCTAAGAGCGGCGTAAAACTATACTCGCTCATTCAATATTTAGACTATCTTTCATATTGTGGGAGAGAAATGCTACGCATGTAGTGCCCGTTGTTGATGTCAATGACTGAGCACAATATATATATTCATAAATCAGATCTGTTGTTGCGAAGTGGAAGTAAGATCACGTGTAACTTGTGAGCTAATCCAATGGTGCGTAACTATGGCCTTGCTATGCATGTTCGATTTATGGGCTTGGATCTCCATTCAGCATGTAAAATTTCACGAAAAACGAAAGACACAAATCAGATGCGAGATTAACGGAAGGTATTTTATGACGCTTCGTTCAGTTGGTGTTTCTCGTTTTCTCGCCACGGTCAAGTGTCGAAAATGGTTATGCTTCTTGTGTTGTCGTTATTAAAGGTATAACATGCTCTTTTAATACGTCAGCATCAAATTATCACTTCAGTTAAATAAAGCTCTATCGTACATATGCAGTATGGGTAAAATGATCCCTCTAGGTACAGAAATGTACATATGCAGTAGGGTAAAAATGATCCCTCTGTACAGAAATGAAAACTCCGAAAAGAGCACATGCACATTTGACTGCTGGTATACTACACACATGTTTTGGTTTCGTTTGGTTTAATTTGATGTTTTACGCTGCACTCAGCAGTATTCCAGCTGCGGTGGTCTGTAAATAATCGAATCTGGACCAGCCAATCCAGTGATCAACAACATGAGCATCTTGATCACTGGATTGTCTGGTCCAAAATCCGATACTCATTCTGTACTGTGACAGTCTGTTCTCAAGGAAGGATAACAATATATGGATGAACAACATCTTTATTGCTGTGAGAGCGACGTTTCGGTGTGGGTTCTAACACCGTTATCAAGCAGAACCTACACCGAAAACGTCGCTCTCACAGCAATAAAGATGTTGTTCATCCATATATTGTTATCCTTCCTTACTGCTCCAACTTCTAAATGCCTCTCAAAGAAGTCTGTTCTCAGTATTGTTACAACTGTGATTGGGTGAGTGAGTTTAGTTTTACGCCGCATAATATCCTAGCTATATGGCGGCTGTTACAGCTGTACATGCAGTGGTCGTATACGTCGGCGGGAGGTCTTAGGTTCGATCCACTGGTTGTGTCATACCACAAACATGGTGCTGGCCAATAGCATTCGTCAGTAAGGAAATAAAGCATAGTCTGGCAGGCTCGAAACCAGTATAACATGTGTGAGTTGGGGGGTATGGTATACCTGTGGCCTTGCAGTATAAAACCGGCCAAAGTCCGAATAAGTAAGTGAGTGAGTATGGTTTTACGCCGCTTTTAGTTAATATTCCAGCAATATCACGGCGGGGCTTACCAGAAATGGGCTTCCCATATTGTACCCATGTGGGGAATCGAACCAAGGTCTTCAGCGTGACTAGCGAACGCTTTAACCACTAGGCTACCCCACTGCCCTTAAAGTATCGTGAAAAAAGAGTTGTTTGTTTTAATGAAAAGGTCGTTACACGTTTTTCATAAGTAGATAAGCAAGAACACGAACTGGATCACAATGACCAGGATTGTAGGTCAGTGAACGCGGACCTCAAGATAAGGTACAGCCTTCGTCACACGCTCGCGGAACTTGTGATCTGAGAGATATAAAAAGTTTGTTTCATAATCCGGTTGTATAACCGAGAGACATGGACGTCCGATCTCTCGTGTTGTTGCTTCATGTGGTGTGTTCCGATGTCATCATCTACCCTGCACCTGACGGGCTAGCACCTTCAGACAAATTCTCTGTCAATGTTACCCAATCTGGACAACCACCCAGCAGACTGTTTGTATATATCAGCACGTCCGACCACCGTAGCAGTTCACCTCTTGAGCCCCCGGGGAGGAGCATGTCATGGACGTCGTTTGCCTTCACAGGCGCTCCCGTCACCATCGAGGTCCATGCTCCCAAAGACTTCAACAACTGCCTTGTTAGACCTACCAGCTATGGCTACAAGTGCAAGAGACTAGGTCCAAACAGAGCATCATTCACTGTTCTGCAAAATGCCCGGATGATGTCCGTGGAGTTTGACTACGACTACGGTCTTGGTGTCCGAGACATCACCGACAAACTCTTCGTCTTCGCCGACCCTCCAGAAGTAAACGTTCCATCCCCGACTGACCCAGGTGTACTGTTCTATGGACAAGGGATCCACAACTTCACCACATCACTGATAGTTGGTCCAGAGATTCGTCAGGTGTACATCGCACCTGGGGCGTACGTCAGGGGAGGGTTTCAACTGCCGCATGGAAACGTCACAATGCACGGCCGAGGCGTCATCTCCAACGAGAACTTCACCCGTCACGATGAAAGGATAGGCCAATGTGCAGTGAACTTCATGGAATCCTCCGGAAACGTTTACGAAGGAATAACGATCGCTGACCCATCTAAATTCTTCTTCCTCGCCAATGGTAATGACAACATCGTCCGTAACGCCCGCATGGTAGCTGCGTGGATGGGGAACACTGATGGTGTCGGGGTTGGAGTTGGCGGAGTGGTGGAGGACAGCTTCATTATAGCGGATGATGCCAACATTAAGGTACAACAATACATAAAAAACAAGTGAGTGAGCATGGTGTTATGCCCCTTTAGCAATATTCCAGGAATATCATTGCAGGGGACACCATGGGCTTTACAGGTTGTACTCATGTGGGAAATCGAAGCCAGGTCTTCGACGTAAATCGCGAACGCATTAACACTAGGCTAACAGACCGCCCCTAATAAACAACAGGGCAATAGATGTATTGCATGAGGCGTTTGTTCTGTGAGGAGCCAATCCAGCAAACAATTTCCTTTTAGTATTCTTTAAGACATATTTGATTTTCATTATTGTTGATGATACTAACATTAAGGTACCGTAAAAACCCAATATGCAACAGTTACTACCTTTCTGTTAGACAGATAATGCTTTGTCTTAAGTAGCCGAAGATTCAGGATATCCTTTTTTCAGATCCACATGAGCAACTTGACGGTTCGACGATGTGTGCAGTGGCAGATGCAGAACGGAGGCACACTTCAGACAGGATGGGAGACGTTGTATGTTCGCAACGTCACCATGGTCGACATGGACATCATCCACACCGACTGGTGCAAGTTCAAAAATGTTTGTAAAACTTTATCAGGAAACGACGCCGTTTTTGACACGTATGGAAATACCCGCCATTTTGACGTCAGCGACATGCGCTTTGAAAACATCCGGGTGGAAGGGTCATGTCCAAGGGTTGTCAATTACAACATGGATCCCGCTGCGGAGGGGACCATCTCAAATATTACTGTTATCAATTTGTCAGTTGACTCTCAACCTGTCCACGACCCGATCCATAATGCTATCTCTGGTTCATCTCGTGGTGGACGGATAATCGACTGGCAGTTTGTGAACTTGACCATCGCCGGTCAGTGCATCGCCAGTGGATCTGATGGGGATTTTATCATTGACCCCAACACAACGAGTAACATCACATTTACGTGTTAATGAGAGTTGTACAGATTACATTGTTCCGTGGTGTCTTTAGAAAAAATGTTTAAGCTCATGGTTTGAAATAAAATAATGTTTGAATTAACCCATGTTATGTTTGGGATTACACTTTCTCAGTAAAGTACAGATTCTAGTACTTTTGTTGGATTGACGACTATCCTGGATTCGAACCCACACCCTCAAAGACAGGCACCTAATCGCCAGCACACAAAGTCTGCCGTCTAACCCATTCAGCCACCGCGTATTCCTCACTAAGAAAGTGTAATTCCAAGTATAACATGTGTTACATTTGAGCACTTTCTAAATGGCATTGTGTATTCAATGTCTGATTTGATACTTACACAATATCTAGTCTAGTCTCCAATCACAATCCCCTCACAATACCCTTCCAAGAACATCCCATGGTAGGTCAGACCCGTGAAGATCCGGGTTAAAATTGGTCTTCAGCAACCCATGCTTGCCGTAAGAGGCTACTAACGGGATCGGTTGGTCAGGCTCGCTGACTTGATTGACACGTCATCGTATCCCAACTGTTGTATTATGCTGTTGATCACTGCATTGCCTGGTCCAGAGAGACCGTCGCCTTCTATCTGGAATATTGCTAGGTGTTAATTTCTAATAAACAAACTAACAAAACATAGTAGGTCGAATTAATATAAACAAGTCTTTTGTTCAAGGCGTCGTGGTACAATGACACTCGATCAGCCACTTCACTCATTGTAAGAACCAGGGTGCCGTTGTACGAAACAACCTTAGCGCAAAGACTGTCGTAAGTCCATGTTGAGGTATGGGACTTACGATCACCTTAGCGCTAAGGTTGTTTTGTACAACGGCACCCTGTTCTAAAAGCGTTCGCTCATCAATACGAAGGCCCGGGTTCGATTCCCCGCATGGGTACAATATGTGAAGCCCATTTCTGGTGTCCCCCGTCGTGATATTGCTTGAATATGGTTGAAAGCGTTGTAAAATCCAACTGACTCAGAGTAGAGAGAGGAAATGCCTCAGTACGAGCAGCAGTTGAAGGACCACAACTTAATATTGTTCCTACCTTCTAATAGGTCTAATGACTTTAGATAGTTGACACCAGTATTACATGTGCATACTTTTCGGGAGATATATACTAAGCAGCAAAAGAAACGTCAGTTTGGAATTTTCCTTCGCAGACACGGATGACTGTAAACTCATTTAATGTTTTGATTGACTGAATGTATATTTTTTGACAACTTTACCTGAGTAAAGACATTCCTTTCCAGGAACCCAGGAAATGGTCTCAAAAACGCAACCCGATCTCGGAGATGGTAGTGTTCTCCATGTTTTTCATGCAACTCATGCTGCATGTGCTGTTCACAAGGACCAACCCTATAAAATGCACCCCCAAGCCTGGTGGAAACATTCACATTACAACGTCAGCAGGATGCCACAAGTCACGACAAGCGCTAGGAAGACCTGAAGCTGGCCACACTGCACGAGCCGTTGCCAATCACTTCCAGGTCAACGTTAGGACCATCTACAGGGTGCATCAACGTTTCTGGGCCACCAACACCACAAATGATCGCCCCCGTACTGGCAGGCAAAGGGTGACCACAAGGCGACAACACCGCCATGTTGTGCGACAGCATGTACAGAATCCCTACATGCAGGCATCCGAAACAGCACGCCAGACAGTGGGAATACACGGAAGACCAATCAGCACTGATACAGTACGCCGACGTCTTAACAGCGGGAACCTCCATTGCCGTAGACCTTACCGCGCCTATCCTCACCCCTCGTCATTGGCGTGAACGTCTACAGTTTGCCCGACAACACCAAAACTGGCGATACAGGCAATGGAGAACTGTTCTGTTCACAGATGAGAGTCGGTACTGCGTATCAAGTGCAGATGGCAGAACAAGAATATGGCGACGACGTGGCCAGCGTTACTCAGACCAGTGTGTTATGGAAAGAGACTCATGGGGAGGTGCAAGCATCATGGTATGGGTTGGAATAGACCTGAACCAGAGAGTGGGTTCTGTGGTGTTCCAGAACCTTGGTCCAGGGAGAGGAGGCGTCATCACAGCGGTGCGCTACATCGACCAAGCTCTCAGACCCCACGTCATACCACAATTCGCACGTCACCGGAACAACATTTTCCAGCACGATAACGCCCGGGCCCATACTGTCAGAGCTACACGGGACTTCCTACAGCACAAAGGTGTCAACATTATGCAGTGGCCAGTCCTTAGTCCTGATTTAAACCCAACTGAACATCTTTGGGATGAAATTCAGAGAAGACTGAATAATGTCATACCAAGGCCGAACACAGCCGATTTATTGCGCCAGGCCTTTCTCAGAGTGTGGTTCCAGGTGCCAATGGCCTTCATCAATCGATTGGTGCACTCCATGCATAGACGCTGTGCTACAGTTATTGCTGCTCGTGGTGGTCACACTAGATACTGAAGTCAAGAGTCTGAATGGACTGCAAACGTTCACGTAATGTCTTGGAATTGATGTGTCATTCATTGATGTGTCAGGATATTGTACACAAAAAATGTTCTTGATCCGCTTATTATGTCCATTTCTGAAATGATTTGATTACAGTGCCTATCTAATTTTGAATTCGTACTGACGTTTGTTTGCTGCTGAGTATATCAATAATGATGATGAAGGGTTGGCCAGCAGCGATTTTCCAAGCTTAAATTGATAAACCAATGCATGATTACTAGCACTGAGTTTTCACATACACACAAGGAACAGTGTCAAGTTGTTTAGACGACATGCTGCATTTACAATGGACGGGTAGCATGACTGGCGGACGTTCAACGAGAAGTGATGGACATTTAAACTATTAAGGAGTTTCCGGGGCGGAACTAATATTAAAATTGGAAAACTGTCAAAAAAATGTCCTGTCTATCAAACAGATGTTATACTTTACTGAACACAAGTCGCAATCATCAAAATATCAAAAAATACATAGACTACTGTTATGATTAGAGCATATGTGGTGGTATGTGGTCTTATGCATAGAGCATTGGTCACGAATCAGTTGAAGTTGAGCACGGAGAGTCCTTTGATTGGCCGTGTTTGGCAGCTTGTTCTTGTTCTGTTCAGTCCTGCCCCACAACGATGAACATGCGATTCGTGTGGTCTCACCATGTGCAAGTGAGTTTGTTTTAAATTGCCTCTGTTCACCCAGCAGAAAATGGGTTAAGTCATGTGACTATTAACCTTCTAACGCCTCACAGGCAGCTTGGGTTATCCGGGGTAATAATGTACTGTGCTTTGATTGGTAGATCTATGAACATTGACCTAGTGAATGGACTTTAGCACAATATAAATGCACTTATTATTATATTGCTATCCCCAGTACGTGTTATCCAATGATATTTCGAAGGGTCACACGTTCAGCAAATTAAACCTTGCACAGTTTTCTGCAAATGATGAAATGATTTTGAAAATGATTTTAAACAAAATGTTCACCCATTCCTTCCGCTTGTAACAAGATAATCACATAACCTACACAGCCTACTATTCAACGAAACATTCTGTGTCTTGCATGTTTCCATTTTACAATATTGCCACCATCAAATATCTTCAGGTGAAAAAAGGAAACTTTCTAAGTTACGTTTGGTCTAGTCTTTCGGCTCCTCACTATATATTTCTTGTTTTATTTATTAATTAACACAAGCCATAAATGCGCCATTATGAGTATATTTGTCTCCAGCCTCTCTTCATCAATCAGCTTTGAAAAGACATAACCCCCTTCAGGAATAGGATGTAAATGAAACATAAATGGTAAAGCATATTTTAGAGACGCAGAGGAATATCCATTTATCATTACTGCTCTGTTAAGAAAACGATGATAACGGTTGACTTATATACCCATGACTAAGAGAAACAGAAGAATGTGATGATAAACTGCGTGCATGTCAGTGTGCAGCCAGTAACAACAAATTACAAATTACCACATTTACACACATGAGTCTTGACAGAATGAGATCCCAAAAGTGTCATCAACTAGCTGAAGCAAATCATGGCAGTATTCGAAGAAATATTCAACGAGTGATTGGGTGAGTGAGTTTGGTTTTCTGAACATTAATATAGATTCATGAGCATCGTTCTACGCAATTGGGATACGGAGGATGATATATGTTCTGATACAAGAATGATCTTCAGTAACTTTTCAATTTTACATGAAATGAATGTTTTAAAGACACAGAGGAACATTTGTCATTGCACACCATGACAAAGGCTGTCTGGAAAACAAATATTAATATCAGAGAGCATTTACACAAAGGTTCTATATTGACAGTATATATGGACAGTATGGGATCCCATAGCTGTCATCATCAAGCTAAACAGTTTAGCTTTTTCCAATGCCGTGATAAAGTAAACTTTCAAATGCTTTTCCTTTCAGTTTTAAAAGCAAACGGAGTTTAAAGACGGATTGAAAGGCTGCTGGGAAGGGAAAACTACCCATCTGCAGCTTTGAGAAATTTACCTATTTCGGAAACCATACCTGAACCACTGCCAGGACATTTTGATACCATACATTCCACAAAACTGTCAGGACATTTTGTAACCATACATTCCACAATCACTGTCGGGACATTTTGATACCACACATCCCACCAACCACTGTCGGGACATTTTAATACCACACATTCCACCAACCACTGCCAGGACATTTTGTTACAATACATTCCACCAACCACTGTTATGGTAATCCTGCTCACAACAGTTGCATTCCTTCTGATGTGTCAACAAGAAGTTTGCACTGATTTCAGGATTGATTACTTCGAGAAGGTAATGGTTGAAGAAAGGGCGGACATTTTATGGAATGTAGACAATGTGTCTAGTAAGCTGAAGTGCACAACACTGTGTCTTGTTGATAACACATGTGCTACTTTCGGCTTCGTTGAGGCAAATGGTTCCTGTAAAGCATTTGGTCCTGGCGCACGAAAGGCGATGGGAAATCATGGCTTCACTGCATACAATTCGATAAGACGTAAGTTTTTTGT